AAAAAAAAAGGAGTCGATATGTAATATATTTGAAACTTTTAGAAATAAAAAATAAATTCAAGAATGGTTTCAGAAAATGTTAATTTTAGTGAATGTTCAAGTTATCATTCTAAATCATAAGGCCAGGTTAAAAAGTTTATAATAATTTTCCTGGAATTAAAATATTTTAAGTTTTCTAACTTTCCTATTGCACACTATTTTAAACTTACATGTAAAGCTTTATAAACAAAATTAAGATATTTTTGACACAGTAACTCTTCCTCAACCACTTTATACTACTGACTACATATTCCTATCTATAAAATAAGTCCTTTCTCTTTGGCATGCAGCTTCAAATAGCAAAGTTCTTCACTAAAACCCAATTACAAAGAAAAGACATGTGTATAATGTGGACATATGCTAAATATACTACGTAAACAGCAACTTTAAAATTCTCCTAAACCAAGGAATCAAATAGCACAATCATTAAAATTTTGAATAACACTTTAAATACATTCCTAATCTGAAAAAGCAGAACAACAAACTTCATGCAAATTAATCCCAATTATGACTACAGACACATGACTAAAATAATGTATTTTCTGAAGAATATACTATAATGTTAATAGTAATAAACTCTGCGTACTATAATTTTGGGTCACTTTTCATTTCCTATACAACCACATAATCTAAGAAACAACATTTTCAGCCTTGCATTCTTCTGATTTTTATGTTAAATCATTTCTCTTAGAGTTCTTCCACCTATGTTGGTATTCCTGAAAAATAAACTATTCAGTTTGGGGGAGGTTTTTTGTTTTCTTCTCATATTCTATGCATTCTTCCTTAACTTGACTTGCACTTCTCACTCAACATATTTTCTGAGATTCACTCATGTTGATGTGCACAGCCAGAGCTCATTTATTTGCAGTGCTGTTTAGTATTTCATTGTATGACATACCACAAGTTATTCATTGTGCCAGACATATGCTTAGTTAACAGTTTATTATAATTACAGAGCCTTAAAATAAAAACAAATAGAAAGTGGCTATACTATACCGTTTTTCTATGTATTCAGCTTGACTTTGAGGAAACTGGAGCTTTACATGCCAACAAAACTTTTGTTTTCTAGGAGAGAAAATGACCATGTGAGGATCAGGGAAGACAATTAAAGTTTAAACACAAATGAAAAATTTTGAATACTGAGGGCAATTCTAAAGTTATTCTTAGAATTTAAACTTTCTTTCCTATTAGGAGATACTTGCACTTTTCTAGGATTTTAGAAGCTATGTATTTTTAAATAATATACTTGGAATCATTATTAAGAAGAAAAAAAGTGAAGCATTTCTGAATTCCAAGGACTTCACATTCCTGAATTAGAAGGTCTTTCTCATATTCCTGAATTAGAAGGCCTTTCTCATATTCAGAGGCTTTTGAGATCCATGTGCTACTCCTTGAAGTTTACAAATAAATTTCCTCATGACTAAATACAATGAGCTGATGTCTTTGCCTGACTAGTCTGGAAATTAGTGAATGAAGTATTGTCTGGTTGAGTCCAGCTGGCTGCAGATATATTTCTCAGGCATGAGTACGTGCATTCAATAGCAAAACAGTAGACAACAAGCTGGTTGCTAAGCAAAATGCACTCAGAGGTAGAGTTTCTATGCTTTTAGGTGAAAACTTTAGTTTGATACAAGGTGAATAGTAAAAATACTTGATTTTAGAAAAATGACTATATGTCCTATTTAACAAATTTAAATTTAGTGATATTATACCAGTCCCCTTTAAAAGAAATCTAATGCTCAAACACTGAATCCACTATAGAAATTTATGTCTTCATGTAATGTAAAAATATCATTTACACAGTGTTTTCCTGCCTTGGAAGAACAACTTATTGGCAAGTGAATAGCTGGCAACATCTCCTCCAAGCCACAATCAGTGACTTTTTGAAATCTACCTCTTAGAAGCAAAGCCCCCAAACCTAAAATAATTTTCTTTCAATGCAAGCTAGGTGTCACCTTCCACCAAGTATCTGTATGATCTAATCAATTTTTGTCAGATAATAATGCCATAAACCCAAGCAATATTCCCTCCATTACAGCAAGTTATCACAGATCTGAATATAGTTTTCTTTAATAATGAGTCTGTTTTGGGCATAAGTCAGAGAAAAATATCTTTGATTATATTTATACTAAAAGTGCACTTATACAAGAAACAATCATGTTAGGGATTTTTTTTTTTTAATAGAACAATGTCAAAAAACACCCTTTCACTACTCCAAAGGTCAGATGTCTAAAATCTCACAAGGAAAAGAACTTAAAAAAATTTCTGAATGCAGAGGCAAAATTCTGAATGCAGATGCAACCATTAGAAATAATATTTCTAAAACAAAACACTTGACAATTTTCCTTATCTGTAAAACAGGCATATAGCCTAATATTAGTATTAAGAAGTATATGTAATATTATTTTCTTTCTTTATAAAAACATAAGCTGATTTTGTTACTCTTAATAAATAATATGGTTTCTTTCTAAATACACTTATTTTTTCCATGTTAACTTATACAGGGGAAAAAAGGACCACCAACTTGTCATCTTGTAGAATTGCAAATCATACTCTATCACCCCAATAATTGCTTGAATAACAGCAAGAACCATTCGCCTTTCTGATACTTTCAGAAAGAGAAAAGGCCTTTGGAAATAATTTTATTTGCTGTAGTTTACTAGTTGTGGTAATAATGAAGTCATTCACTGCTATTTTATTATAAACACATTGTTAATTTATGGCAACTACAAAAATCTTTTTATATTGGCCTCAGTTCATAGATGTACAAAATTTCAAAAGAAAATTTCAAAAGAAAAGTACGTTTACATTTAAAATGTGATATTGTAATATTTCAAGAACAAAGAAAAACAGAATATAAAGAACCCTCACCATACCCATTTTTTTCTCCAAAGACATAAAATGCATTTTTTTTCTTCTAAGACTGCTATCTTTTTTTAGTATACCTCAATTCAAAGTAGGCAAAAGTAAGTTGAAGGGTGTTATATAAAGAATTGCCAAAATGGATAAGTTAATTTTCAATTCTTTAGTATTCCTGAAATTCATTTGAGTCCTGACACAACCAAATCTCTTCCTAAGATTTAAAGAGTTAAGTTACCCATTTTTCATAATTATATATATGTCCCATTTAAAAAATACATATACCAAAATCCCAGTAATGTTACTTGGATTATTTTTTAAAGTTTGCTCCCAGACATTATAAACATCCTCATGGAATTAAAAACCACTGGGATAGAGATTTGAACATTTATTATTACTTCTAATGCATTACTATTACTCCTAACAATATTGTTCCCTAAATTCAATAAAATGTCTCCAATCACAATAATTTCACTGTGCCCTCTGCATATTAATTTTCCTAAGAATGGAAATACTGTGTCTGAATATTCTAGAAAACTTATGTAGTCCAAGGCATATGTTTAGAGTTTAACAACGGGCTGGTTGAAGAAATAGTGGCAATTATTAAACCTAATGTTCCCTTTGGACAACTGATAAGTGACAGAATCACTGACATTTTCTTTGAGCCCCACGAAACCAAAGTAACTATTCATGCAGAGCAAAGCTTTTTCTGCTTTTCCCCCAAATATCAATACAAGTGCATACATAAATGGCATGCTAATGAGAGCAGCATTACCCTAATGGGGTAATATATTTATATGTTATCCAAATGTCACAGTGGGGACAGTTAGGGGGAAATATCTAAAAAGCCTCCTTAGAAAGCAATAATGCAGAAAAAATTGAGAAAGAGATGACATGTATAATAAATGAAGAAAATAAATATTATTTTACACTTATTTTCAGTGAGTTACACAGGGTACTTATTTATATTAATTTTTACTTGTTAGAAACTGTTAAGGATCATTCTTTTGCTTATTAGAAACTCTTAAGGTTCATTCTTTCCCACAGGTTCAAAAAATTAGTATGTATATGAAAAGATATTTGTTGTGTAGGGGTTCTAGGCCCCTACACTCAATTATCCTTTTGACTTCATGACTCAAAATTGTCATTCTGAATATCTGAAACACTACAGAATCCCACAGAACAAGATGTAAATCAAGTCATCAGATCCTTTTTGGTACTGCCATCATGTTTTAACTCATTAAAAAAAGATATTATTATTTTACCTATCATATTTGCACTAAGAAAGTATAGCAAAATGAACACTTTCCATTGCTGAAAGAAGTATACGCTAATACACACTTTTGGTAATTTGAATTCATAAAAGCAGAGAGGAAAATTCAGAAATTACAAAATATATATTTTTGCCTCAACAGTTTTTCTTTCCCCCAGAAATTTCCTGCAAGGAAATTATTGGGCAAGTAATACGATATGTACAAAATGTACACTGTGCTACATTTTATAACAGGAAAAAATTAGAAACAACCTAAATGTACACCATCAGAAAGTTAATTAAATAAATTCATCATGTAGGTCTACATAACAAATGTTAAGCAGCCATAAAAGTGGAAGAACTATATGCACTGACATTAAAATATGTGCATGTTTATTGACGATATTTATATTTAAAATAGATTTATATATCACGGATTTAAAAGTATGAAAGTATACCCCAAACTTTTAACTACTCTAATTCTAGACATTATAAAAGGACTTAATTCTCAAATGTCTATATAAAAAACAATCTTTCACATGATTTGCTATTTTTTATTAATCAGCAAAGTCAAAGATGTTTTAATGAGAAAGTGTCAGATAATAGTGATAGAAAGAACAGGAATAATTTAAATCTTTTTCTCTAAACTTAAATATATATTTCCTTATTAGAATTATTTATTTAAGATGTCTCCTTTTTAATCTTAGAAATTACTACCCAATAATAATTGAGTTTTTATATCTAATTATTTTGACAACCTAAAAAAACATATTTCTAGGAAATACGCCACAATTAAGAGTTACATATGGAAGCTAAATTTTAAGAACTAAGATTTCTAATACTAAGTTTAAAGAAGCTTGAACATTTCTGACACACACATATACATACATATATATAAATGAAAACACATCTAATTCCCATTGCACTCCACCAATCAACCAATATTTATTCAAAGAACATTTTTGAGCTTACCAGGGATCAAGAACACAGAGACAAAGAAGGGGATAGGTCCAAGGCAGACATTTTTTTAGGGCAACAAGTCAACCAACAATCTTGGGTACTGCATTTTCCCTTCCATTTCACAATTTATATGAAAGCATCCTGTTCTTTCTTGACACTATACACTGCAAGAATGCTTACAATACTATAATGCCTGGAAGTAGCACCGAGGAGAGGTTAAGTGGACCTAGTGTTTGAATCCCATTCTAACAATTTATTACTTAATATGATCTTAAGCAAGAGACTTAATCTCTGACTCAGTCTTCTCACAACATGGGCAAAACAAGACTGTATCACAAGAATGAATTAAGTAAATATGTCTAGAGTTTGCAATACAGCACTCAAAATGTTGTTATTATTATCACTGTAATTTTACATTCAATTCCATGTCCTGAATTATGAAGCTTAGAACAGAAATATTACAGTTTCTGTAACTTATTTTGCCATGAGTCCATAAGCAAATTGTACTTACCATGAATTCCAGTTTAGTTGCTGGAGAAGAAACTAGACATGTGCATTAATTCCATATTATAAAGAGCTCTCAATGCTCTGTAAGTAATATGGATTTTACTTATAGTTAATGCAACATAAAGGTTTTAAAGAAGAGTGAAATGAAGGATTTAGAGGGAAATCCATCATCCTATTACTTAATTCTAAGAAAAGTGTTTCATGGTATATTTGGGACATCAACTTTTCAGTCCTTGTTTGTACTTATGACTTTTGAGAATCACATTGATATATCATGTCAGTTCAAATATGCCTGTTTAAGATTTTTACTTCTAATTCTTAAATACAAGTGACTCATTGAAAATTTGGTCCCCAGCGTGGCAGTGTTGATAAGTTGGTTGTTTGGGAGGGTAGTGAGTAGTAAGAGCTCTGCCCTCATGAATGCATTAACCCATGAATGGATTAATGGATTACTGTGGAATTGACTTTGTTGTAAAAGGGAGCTCTC